GATGAAGCGTCCGTCTCTATAAGCGCAGACGGCGTCCGGGTCATCATCAGGGAGCAAAGGAAACCTTGAGAAGAGCAGCTGATTGGCCGGGCTGTGGACCAGCACAGAGTACTGCACTTCCTGTTTGTACAGCGAGGTCTTGAACACCCTCATGATGGGCGGAGCTCCGGAGCAAAACTGGAGATGATAGAAGCAGAAGACTCCAGCTGTTACACGCCTGCAGTCACTAACCTGGTGTGGTGGATTTGTGCACAGCTGTGGTTTTACAGTTTCCACTCATCACGGGCACAGCTCCTTCTGGACTTCTTTTCACGGGGTGGACGATCACACAGCAGACGAGAGCAGGGTGCACATGTTTGAATTTATTTTAGATTTTCTCCGACCCACACGGGGTCAGACGAGTGCTGAGCTTTGAGAGCTTCACCTTCAGCTTTCACCGCTGTGGCCAAACGGCTCAGTCTGTGTCGTCTGACCATCGACTTGGTTGTTAATAACCCCTGAGACAGGATGGTGTATGCGGACATGAAGGGGATGATGGACCAAAGGTAGTTTACCTGAGCTCTGAACACATTTCTTTCAAGGTTCAACGATCTCACCAGCGGCACATCTTAACATTAACATCACAGCCACAGCACATGTCAACAGAAAATCCCCTGGTGGATCTAAACCTCCTTGAATAGATGCAGACCACACCACCAGAAAGTCCACCTACAAATCAACATGTACAGTGAGCTGCAGCGGTTAACACACGCCACATACATCTGACTACAAAGCAGTTAAATAAGATACAAACTAACTAAATCAATTCAAACTACAGACTCAGATTGCTCCCCCCTCAGCTCTCATCTAATGGTTTATCCCACTGACGGTGGATAATTAGGGAATTCCCTCATCATGTGCACTCCAGCAATCTAGCCTTCAGGAAGTTGGCCTCAAAAGACAGAGTGGTTAGTGGACTTCAAAATAAAAGCACCCAGCACCCTCACATTTCAGCAGCACTCATTAAAGACTCAGCTGAGTGTATGCGTACTCCTCATCCTGTGTGGATCAGAGATGATTTGTTTGTTAATGTCATTAAAGACGTCTGCTGCACAGTCGCCACCCTGTGAAAGAAGAAATCCTTCACAGCCCAAAATGAGCTGACATCCACCACGTGATGATGGAAGCTGCTGCCAGCAGCTGTGCGCCTCAGTTTACCGTCTCTGTTGTGCTTTGAATCTTTCTTACATGTTTCTGTGTCTTTGTCATGAACTCGAATGATTTGGTGCCACAAAATTGAGCTGACTTAGTTTTCTTTGACACAGTGTTGTGTCTTCCTGTGGTTCCGTTAATCTGAACTCGTGTGCATGCTGAGTCTGTTTAGTGTTTCCTGTTAATCACACTCAGTCTTTCTGCTTTACTCTCTCACTGAACTGTTGGGCCCGTGTGCTGACAGAGGAGTACCTGCTCGCTGTAGGCGGTCAGCACCTCCTGCAGGGGGAAGGTGAAGCGGTACGAGCCCAGCCTGGACCTCTCGCCGAAGGCCGGAGAGGAGGCGAACCTCCACAGGAAGCTCCGCTGCCTCGCGGCCTGCTCCTCCGTCCGGTTTGGGTGGGTCTCCTCTAGCAGCCTCGTCTCGGCCTCCTGGATCTCCTCGGGTCCCACAGCCAGACTCCACCACACCAGGACCTGCCTGTGAGGATCCCCGAAGCCGCCGTCCACCCTGATGCAACATAAGCCCCGTCGCTCCGTGTCGTGTTTGACACGGCTCACGTGGAACTCGGGTCGGGGGTACGGAGGGATGTCTCCACTGAAGATGTACTGGTTCTCCAACCCATACCTTTGAACTTCCTGTTTCAGATGATTGAGCCTGGAGTGCTTACAGTACAGGAAGTGCTCTAAACGTCCTCTCCTGTTTCTCTGTGTCCGCATGACCACAGGTCCATCCGAGTCTCTGTGGGGGAGCTGTTCCTGCAGACGCTCAAAGATGTGAGTGCATCGTGGTCAAATGACGTCACATACTAGACACCTGTAGCAGTGAGCGACCAGCTGACATCACGTGCTGTCGCAATGACGCAGTGATGTCATCTAACTGCTTTGTTTAATAAAGATTTAAAGACCTGCCACTGTTTTTACACGCTTTAGGTTAAAGACTTTTATTTTGAAAGATGTAATCAACGGAAGTTATTAAAGTTGTCAGCAAAGGAGCCCTGCCACTTCCGGTTAGATTAATCATTAAACTAAGTTAAATAGCACGTATGAAGTGTGTGTGACGTTAACGGTGAGAGGAGCTTCAGGTGAGGCGCGGAGCTGGAAAACTCTTTGTCCGGTTTAAAGCTCGTTTCCGGTCCCAGCTGCCGTCTGCCACGTCAGAGGACCGCACCTGTTCAGGTAAGACAGCCCCAGAACTCTGTCAAAGTTTAAAACTGATGTCCTGCCTGCTTGGATCAGCATTCATGCAGCACACCAGACTCCGTTTAAAAAACGTCACGTTTTACGGTACCTGAAGCAGTGGCAGAGACTAATGCTGGCTTCCTGGCGGCTCGTGAGGCCAGTGACCTTCTCTGCAGTTCTGTATACACACTGCACCAAACTCCATTTAAATGCTTGTAATTTTTAATACCCGCCTCAGTAACACAGGCTGATATTTGCCTGAAGAATATTTTCTTCCTCCTGCTCCTTTTCACACATGGTTGTAGTGCTTTTTGATAGAAAGTGTGGTTGGTTTGTTTGAATTGTTGTACCAAGTGTGAAATAAGGAAATGAAATGAAAAGGACACAAACAGGGCACGAAACCACTGAAATATCTTTTGAAGTTAACTGATGTTGTAGCGCCGCAGTGCAAAAATCCCTCGTTGGAAGTAATCAATACGTGTCACAGCTTTAAAAATGTCACAGACTAAAGCATGTTTGGATTACAACCACAAACTCAGGAGCAATAGAAACGAATCCTAAAGACGAGCTCGTTTCCATCCTTTGCAGGTGGTGTTAGTCTCACCTGTCTGAGGCTCGAAGCTCTCCTGTCTCCAGGATGCTCCAGGGGCCGTACGGCGACCCGGACCAGGGCCGGCTCCTCATCCGGCTGCCCTTCAAGATCTTCGCCGTGGTGACGGTTCTGCTGCCGGCGACCGGCTTCATCGCCTGCATCATCGTCTCCCTCATCTACCACTACGAGGACACGACGCACACACACTGTAAGGTAAATGTGCAAGCACGCAGACGCCAGCAGGAAGCACGTTTCTCTGCACAGACGTTAAAGAAGATCACTCAAAGTGTCTTTTATTTTGAAATTAGAAGCAGTAAAACATTCTAAATGTCTGTAATTCTTCATGAAACAGACAAAATGATGTCACTTCCACCTGGCGAGGGTCGTGACCTTTGTATCACCTTTGAATCGTAGTGTGGTGTAAATCATCAGGACGTACAATAATAATAATAAT